TTTTTTGAGATGGAGTTTCACTCTTGTTGCCCAGGCTAGAGATGCAATGGTATGATCCTGGCTCACCACAACCTCTGCTTCCCGTGTTCAAGTGATTCTCCTGTCTCAGCCTCCGAAGTAGCTGAGATTACAGGCATGCACCACCACACCCAGCTAATTTTGTATTTTTAGTAGAGATGGGGTTTCTCCATGTTGGTCAGGCTGGTCTCGAACTTCCAACCTCAGATGATCTGCCTGCCTCGACCTCCCAAAGTGCGGGATTACAGGCATGAGCCACTGTGCCTGGCCACCTGGCTAATTTATTATTTTCATATTTATTTATTTATGAGATGGAGTCTCACTCTTTTCCTAGGCTGGAGTGTGGTGGCACTATCTCAGCTCACTGCACCCTCTGCCTCCCAGGTTCAAGCGATTCCCGTGCCTCAGCCTCCCAAGTAGCTGGGACTACAGGCACGTGACACCACGCCTGGCTAATTTTTTGTGTTTTACTAGAGACAGGGTTTCATCATGTTGACCAGGCTGGTCTCGATCTCCTGATCTTGTGATCCGCCTGCCTGAGCCTCCCCAAAGTGCTGGGATTACAGGTGTGAGCCACTGCACCCAGCCTTTTATTTTTTTAGAGATGGGATCTCATCCTGTCGCCCAGACTGGAGTGCAGTGGTGCCATCATAGCTCACTGCAGCCTCAAACTCGTGGGCTCAATTCTTTCTCCTGCCTCAGCCTTGGGACCACAGGTGCCCATCACCATGCCTGGCTAATTTTGTTATTATTACTACATTTTTGTAGACATGGGGTCTCACTATATTGCCCAGGCTGGTCTTGAATTCCTGGAGTCATGTGATCCTCCTGCCTCAGCCTCCCAAATTGTTGGGATTACCGGTGTGAGCCACCATGGCTGGTCATTAATTTATTAAGTTTCAAAAGGAATACATGTCAGTTGTAACTAGTAAGGTGGTGCTGGCGTGAGTAAGGGTGGGTTAGTGATCCCTCACGAACCTTGTGGGACACCCAGCCTGTCCTTCTAGGACACTCCCCCTCAGGACACAGATGCATGGCTGTTGTTGGTGTTTGTGTCAGGGATGCAGTGACTCCAGATACTCAGGAGGTTCCATCCCTGAAAAGGGCAGCCTCCTAGGCCAGAACTAAAGGTCCTTAGCCCTGTGTGTGTTTCAGGGAGTCACGTCTGCCCCATGGAGGACCTGAGTAGCCTCCCATGCAAATGCCAAGCGCCATAGAAGTGGGTGGTGTGTGGGACCAGTGGTGGTGGGAGGTGGGACGGGAGACAGGATGGCTAGTCAGCTGAACCCTCACCCTGAAGGCAGTTGGGGTTGAAGCCAGGAGTGACGGTACGTTTTGTTGATCAAAAAGGAAGAGGCTAAAGCCCAAAATGTGATTTAAACAGTCTACTTGGCCGGGCATGGTAGCTCGTGACGGTAATCTCAGTACTTTGGGAGGCCCAGGCGGGAGGATTTCTTGAGCTCAGGAGTTCCAGACCAGCCTGGGCAACATAATGAGGCCTTGTCTCTACAAAAAATACAAAAAAATTAACCAGGCATAGTGGCACACACGGATGGTTGGGAGGCTGAGGTGGGACATTACCTGAGCCTGGGGAGGTTGAGGTTGTAGTGAGCTGCGATTATACAACTGTACTTTCCAGCCTGGGCAGCAGAGTGAGACCCTGTCTCAAAAGTAAAATAAATAAGTAAGTAGTCTACTTGAGCCAGGATAAGGAAAGCTTGCCAGAAAACTCAGCACCAAGGAACACTGGGAATGGGCTCCATTTGACCTGTGTTACAGGCAGGTTTTTAAAGGCAAAAAAGAGGGACTGGGCATGGGACGATGGCAGATTGTTTGTTAGGAATCCTCTTTGGTTGACGTGAATACCACTGATTAGCGATGGGCTGAGCATTGTTGCGGGTGTTGCCCAGTGCAGCTTATTAGGTTAGTTCATAGCTACCTGTGGCTGCAGCAGGTGGTTTTCAGAGATGAACACACAGCTCAGGGGAGAGCAGGGCATGGCAGCTGTCTCACTGAAGCTCTCTAGGGGCCTGATCCCTGAAAAGGACTAACCTTCCTCTGATAACAATTCTTTTCTTTCCCCCGTTTTGATTTATTTTCTTGGCTTGCCATCATTTTCTTCCTAGAAAGTAACTTCTGTGCCAGTGTAGTGGGGAGCCTCGGGTAGGGGTGGAGAATAGTGGAGCTGTGGGAGACACCGCAGGAGAGTACATCTGCAGGCCTGGCCCCAGGCAACGCACCACCTGCAGAGCTGGAGCAGAGGGGCACTGTGGGTGGCTACAGAGAGTGCAGAACTGAGGATGCTCTGGGTTTTCCAGCCTGGGAGATTGGGTCTGTCATGGTGCCTTTAATCAGGAGCTCCAGAGGCAGAGCCAACCTAGGAGGCGGGGCAGGATGCCAGTTCGAGGTGCTTTGGAGAGCCCTTAGGGGTGTCCAAGAGACAGCTGGAAATACAGGCTCTGGAGATGAGGAGCTGGGTCAGTGCCCTGAAGTCAGTACTTTGAGAACTGGGAGTGTATTGACATAAAGATGTTAGTTGAAGAATGTAAAAGAGGTAAGCACAGATCTGAACCCAGGGCCCAGCAGGTAAGGGGTGGGCAGAGAGCAAGCGTACCTAGGAGCCTCCAGTGCCCTCTGTCATTGTTAATGGTGTCAGCCCCGGCCCCATCAGCTAGCCCACTCCCTCTGCTCTCTTTATCCTGTGTTCAAGCAGCTACTTGCTCATTCCATATGGATTTTTTTTTTTTTTTTAAGATGGGGTTTCACCATGATGTCCAGACTGTTCTTGAACTCCTGACCTCAGATGATCTACCCACCTCAGCTTCCCAAAGTGCTAGGATTATAGGCATGAGCCACTGTGCCCAGCCTCCATGTGCATTTTTTAGGCTCCCACTGGATACATCAAAATGAAGTGAGCTTCCTCAGCTTGAAATACCCGCTCCCTGACTCCAGCCATCGTCCCTTGCCCTCAGTTTCCTAGACACAGTGTGCAGGCTCCTGCCCCTTTACCAGTTCTTGGAGTCTGTGTTTAGATTTCTGTGCCCACTAAGTTCTCCTGGACCTCTGCCCTTCTTCCAGCCTGCCTTGCCACTCAGGCTCTGTGCAGCTCCTGGGCACTTGATCTGTGCCTTCCCTGCTGCCTGTCTTGGCCTCAGGATGCATTCAGCTGTTCGCACCAGACTCGCTGTCCCCACATGGAGCTCCCGGGGGATGTGCCACTCACGTGTGATGCTCCGCCCACAACCTAGTGCTGGGCAGGGTGTAGCCATTCACTGGGCATTGGTTGCATTGAGCCTAGCGCTTTGCTTTGAAACTCAGAGGACTAAGGTTAGTCCCTAAAAGACACACCACAAAGTGTGAGGTCTGCTCCAGCGTGACTGTGAGGCATGCTTTCTAAAGTGCTATAAAGGTCAAGGTGATGTTTTGAAAATATAAATGATATAAATCACTTCCCAGCTCAAAACCCTGCAGTCTTCTAGTTTCACTTAGAATGAAATCTAACTCTTCCCTTCAGCCTGCAGGAATGCCCCTGTGGTCCCTGCTCACCTGGTTGACTTTTTTTTTTTTTTTTTTT